TCCCCCAAACTTCCTGTAAACTCTATAGAGATGAGAGGCTTCCTTGAGTTTAAGATTTTTCCAGATTTCATGCCCATCCTCCAATAGGGCTGCCAAACTTCCTGTAAACTCTGTAGAGATGAGAGGCTTACTTGAGTTTAAGATTTTTCCAGATTTCATGAAAATGAGGTGCTAAGCAGCAGGACAGACCCAACTTGGGCAGTCACCAACCATACGAAATTTAACAACAGCAACTGCAGGATTCTGCACCTGGGATGGGATAATCATGGTTATACATACAAACTGGGAAACAAGAGGCTGGAGAGCAGCCCCACGGAAAGAGACCTGGGGTTTGGGTTGATGGCATGTTGAACACGAGTCAACAGTGTGCCCTGGCAGCCAAAAGGGCCAGCTATGTCCTAGGGTTCATCAAGAACCACATAACTAGACAGTTGAGAGAGGTGGTTGTCCCACCCTACACTGCACTGGTGCAGCCCCACCTCAAGTACTGCATGCAGTTTTGGACACCTCAAGGAGAACGTCAAATGGTTGGACTCAATGATCTAAAGGGTCTTTAAGAACGTCAGATGATTGGACTCAATGATCTAAAGGGTCTTTTCTAACCTGAATGATTCTAAGTTGTAACCTGAATGATTCTAAGAAACTGTCAGTGTCCAGAGGAGGACAAGACTTATGAGGAGCAGCTGAAGTCACTTGGAGAAACTATCAGTGTCCAGAGGAGGATAAGACTTATGAGGAGCAGCTGAAGTCACTTGGTTTGTTCAGCTTGGAGAAGAGAAAGCTGAGGGGTGACCTCATCGTGGTCTACAACTTCCTGTTGCTGGTCTCCTCTCTCTGGTGACCAGTGATAAGACACGAGGAAATGGAATGAAACTGCATCAGGGGAAGTTCAGATTAGACATTAGGAAAAGATTCTTCATTAAGAGGGTGGTTGGCCACTGAAACAAGCTCACCAGGCAAATGATCATGGCACCAAGCCTGTCAGAGTTCAAGGAGCATCTAGGCAATGCTCTTAGTTATATGGTTTAGTTTTAGGCAGTCCTGTGAGGAGCAGGGAGTTGGACTTGATGATCCTTATGGGTCCCTTCAAACTCAAGATATTCCATGATTCTGTGATTGTAAGTTAGTCAGCCACTGATGGAGTGGCAGGTAATGTCCAGTGGTGGGATAGAGACAAGCTGACCACTGCCACCTGATCTATAGGCCTACAACTCAAAGACCAGCTGCAGCATGCAGGCTCTATGGCACCCTGTGGTGCCCTGGGAAGGGAAGGAAGAGGGCACCAGCATTTTTAGAAAAACAAAATTCAAGCAGGTGTTGTGCAAGTCAGAAAATTATGCTTGTGGTGATTCATCACAAGTCTCCTTTCTTGGTGCATTGCCATACACGTGACTAATGAAGGAACTTTTCAAAGCTTGTGTTGGCTTCTGCAGTGGAATGTAAATATGACTAATCTAATACCCTAGCAGTGTCTGAGAGCGGTGATGAGTCTTTGCAAGGAACTCCTATTTGCGTAGTTACTTGGCTCACTTGAATACCCTCCAGCTCATCACCTTTTCAAAAGCTTATGTTTGCTCTTTTCTTTTACCTGCTGTTTTTCCCCCATCTGACATAGACTCTGCAGGTTACTGGGGACAGCCTGCTGAAGATTTGTCTTGAGAGCCTGGTGTTTGAGCTATAGACATGAAAGGAAAATAGTGTAGACACTTCTGAAATGTTCTTGATCCTGCTCGTGCCCCTAGGAGCTAGTAATTCCAGCTTTATACACAATATACTATCTGCTTTATTTGCAGTTATCTTGCTTAGACTAAGAAAATGCTCATAAGCTCAGTTACTCTGGGTGCTCCTTACACCTGTAGGGAGTGCAACATATTATTGCTGAGTCTTCTTGGATGCTGATGCTACCTTTATTCTGGCTCTGCAGCTTTGTTTTGTTGCCTGATTGATTGTTTCTTCCCTGGAATTAGCTGAAGCCCTGGTACAGAGCCTGTCTCATTTCAGGCTAAGTAATCAAACTTCTAGTCTAGCTGGACCCAGCCATGCTAAAAGCTCAGTGAGTACAATTGTAAAAGCAAGTTCTTTAAAGACATATGAAGGTTTGTTGTGAACAGTGGAGAAACGCCCAGTCTTTACTGGGAAAGCAGACTGCCAGCACTTCAGAGTACAGATTATTGTAATGAGTTTCATAAAATGGGTTCCAACATTTCTGCTATCATTATTGAGATAAAGTAATGTGTTTGAAGAGCCTGAAATCTTGCTGCATGCTTGGAAAATGGAGTTGTGGTTGCAGAATACTGAATCATTCCAGTCAATACTGAAGGATTTTTTTTTCCTCTTTTATTAACTATCAAATTTGTTTATTGCTCTCTCAAAGCATGTTTTATGTGAGATTGGCAGTCAGCAGTATCATCCTAAATTATTTCTCCATAAACATCCCATGTGAAAGCAATCCCGTAAAACTCTCTTACACTAGTTTCCTCCTCTTGAGGGAAACCACTGCAGCTGGAACTGTTCAGAGTTCCTGGAGTAAGTTTCATGGTGGCAGTGGGAGACTCTTCAAATAGCTTGTTTTCTGCTCCAGGTAAAACTTGCACCAAAGCATAGCATTGAGTATATGTGCTTGTTTTTTCCTCTGTCGCTTCTTGTAAAAAGAAATAGTGCTCTTGAAATAAACCCACCAATGTAACATTCAATGACTTAATGATATATCTTTAACCTTGAGATAGATGGTGTTAACAGATGGTAGTGGTCCGTCCTTTGGTTGCTACTCTGGTACAGTGTTTTGAGGAGCATGCATCTTCAACAGATCCTTCTGCCTGCCTTCGTAGAATTAGACTAGCAAATACCTGTTTGAGTTCTGTCTTAGGCATTCCTCCCTGGAGGACTATAGCCTGAGAGATGTATTTACTTGAGAAAACAAACCAACCAGAATTCAAGTTTGAGGAACAACTATGCAAACATCTGCTTGAGCATTTTTACTGGTTTTTTGCCTGTTCATATGGGGGTTTCTTGGTGTAGTCTTAACAAAGGGGCAACTTCAGAAGTAACTGAGATTTGGGTCTTAGCAACTCCTCATTTTACTGAGGTTTTAAAGATTGTATTGCAAGAGGATGTAGGCTTCAGATAAACAACTTGCAAATACTTTGCATTCTGTGAAACAGCTTTTCAGGAGCCAAATGTCTGGAAGAGCTTATGGTCTACACGTGGAGTGAAGAACACCAACTCAAATATCTCCTTGCTTTCTATTCAAGATCTATACCTAGTAACTTTATTCAGGAGGTTCTAAATGCACTTTGCTCCACCAAAATAAAGCCATGAATTGCCTCTGTTTCCATGAAGGAGCCTGTCACTGACGAGGCAGTGCTACATCCCTACTTAGCTGTGACAAGGTGGTACTCAGTTCAAATGTTACAGTATGGAAATCACTGCTTAGGCTTCAGTTTTCAGTTTCTGCTGTAGCAGTGCAGTTGGCCAGACTGAAGACTAGCTTGAAGGGTGTTTTCAGGAAACTGCAAGCTTGCCTTCATTTTTTTATTCCAGTCATCATTCCTTGCTTCCATATTAAAAACAAAACTAAAATAGTATACTGCAGTCTCATTTCTTCTCTGGAAAAAAGATGGCATTATTAGTGCAGTTATCTCAGAAGGAAAAGAGATTTCAATTTTGACCTCAGTTGAGATGAAGAATGTCACCAAGTGTATGAGCATCCATCATTCCTGGTACTAGACTCTTGAGTTGTTCTTGTCTTAGCTTGCCCTGTCATGTAAGCAGAAGGAACATTCTGCCTGGTGTTTGAGTTTTGATGTTTGTTTTTTATTCCTCTCTTCAGACTTTGCAGTAGCCAGTTCTGATTCCTCTTCTGTAGCTACATTCATAGAGGAAAAGCCAGACACATCAATGCTTTATTTGTGTAACTTCTGAATTAAGGTAGCTCTGATGGGAATAAAGATCTGCTCTTGCTGCCTTGATACTTGGTAGATAGAAAGAGGCTTCCAGCTTCTTTGGGGTTGGAGCAGTATATTTGGATGTCTTTGTCTTGAATTGCTGGTACATACTTTCATGCCTTTTTCTTTTTCCATGCTTCGGTGAAAGCAGGAATGATGAACTATCAGAAATATCCCAAGCAGTTGTTTTAGCTGTCCATTTATCTTACAAGCCTCAGCTGCTGAGATCACACTGCTATATTCATGCTGTGAAACCAGTTTGTATCATGAATATATTGAGTTAGTGTGTTTGCAGTTGGCTGGGTAAGCAGCAGTGGTTCTCGTAACTGACCTAACACTGCAAGAGATACTGTTCTTTTCCTATGGACAGAAAATGAAGCTTAATCTACCTGGAGTGGAGAGCCCATAGGGGTGACAGGTGCATTTAGCTTTCTTTTACGAAGTTGAAGAGACTGCTCAAGATCATCTGTGCTAATAACTTAACCACCTTCATACTCTTAGTGTTTATTAGGGGAAAAGTTAAGACCTATAAACCCATGAAAATTAATATTTAATGCCAGGGTGTTAAATCCATTACCCGATCATATAACTTTCATACTGGCCTTTGTGCTCCAAGGCTCTTCTTCACACTTGAGTCTTGTAAATTCTTGTGAACTTGAGCTGTGCTCCTGCTTATTTTGTGGTTCAATGGGAAGAAGGCTAGGAAAGAATACTGTATATGACACTGAAAAAGCAGGCAATAGCAGTGGCAGGAGTAAAGGATTAGTGCATTATATTGACTGTAGGAATATATGTTCTGGCCCTCCAGATCCTTTCTATAGAGACAATTTTTCATGCTGTTCCTTTTTTTTTTTTTTTTTTTGCAAAGAGATGTGTGGATGGCAGTCTGGAGAACTAGAGAAGCATGTCTGTCTTCAGCCTTGAAATATTCTTCTAGTCTGATGCAAGAAACAGAAAACATACCTCAAGATAGATCAGAGACATGTTTATGACTGTAGTAAGTGTTGGTTTTCAGTAAGAAAAAAGTGTGCTTATTGTTGCTTTCATCTTTTACAGGTGATCTTGACGACTTCAACTTAGAAGAGGCACTTGGTAATTATTACACTCTTGCAAATTTGGGGAGGTAGGTGGGAAAATAGTGGCTGCTCTTTTGACCGGTCTTTCTGAGTATCACTGCATGACCAGGCATGACAACTTGCCCACATATGGTTTGTTTAAACCTCAATGGAACACCTCAGCTATGGGTATGTCAAAATGTTGACTGCACAGAAGAAAAATTTGTCTTTGGGAACACTCAGGGGTTCCTCTTAAGGGGAAATGTCTTGCTGTATAGACTTAATCTTGTGCTTTTCCTTGTATAGACATAGGCTTACATTTGTCCTTCATGTGTCTTCTGAGTAATGTATTAAATACTGTTTAAACTTTTTTCTTTTTTCTTTTTTTTTTTTTCCCCAAACCATCCTTGACAGGCACTACAAAGAAGCCTCTTCCAACTCGGAAACCACCAGCATCAGATCATGGTGAGAGCTAATTGGCTTGTAATACCTTTTACTGTGAAGTCAAGTGCAGTTGCACATACTAATTTGAGAGCCTGAATTTTTCAATGTAGTGTCACACAGAGTTGTGGTATTTCTATGAAAGAAAGCCGTTCCCTCATAGCAAAAGGATTTCTGCATTTTGGAGTCTTCTGTTAGTGCTATGATCACAAATTTACTTTGTGATTTCACAAGCTTAAAGACTGCAAGAATCCCTTCTGTTGACTTTCAATCTGCATGTTTTGAGCTTGCTCGCCTTGAGCTGGCCCTTGGCACGTGCTATGATCACCAAAGCAACAGGTCGTTTGGCAGATAATGCCTGGTAACTCTGTGGTGCTCTTCCATGGGCCACGCCGTTATATTCTTGGTGAAAACATTGTGTAAAAATATTCTAAAACTAGGCCAGTTTTGGCATTACATTTAAAATGTGTTTTCTTTGTAGATGATTTCAACTTGGAAGATGCTTGTTGCTGGTCTCCTCTCTCTGGTGACCAGTGATAAGACACGAGGAAATGGAATGAAACTGCATCAGGGGAAGTTCAGATTAGACATTAGGAAAAGATTCTTCATTAAGAGGGTGGTTGGCCACTGAAACAAGCTCACCAGGCAAATGGTCATGGCACCAAGCCTGTCAGAGTTCAAGGAGCATCTAGGCAATACTCTTAGTCATATGGTTTAGTTTTAGGCAGTCCTGTGAGGAGCAGGGAGTTGGACTTGATGATCCTTATGGGTCCTTTCAAACTCAAGATATTCCATGATTCTGTGATTGTAAGTTAGTCAGCCACTGATGGAGTGGCAGGTAATGTCCAGTGGTGGGATAGAGACAAGCTGACCACTGCCACCTGATCTGTAGGCCTACAACTCAAAGACTAGCTGCAGCATGCAGGCTCTATGGCACCCTGTGGTGCCCTGGGAAGGGAAGGAAGAGGGCACCAGCATTTTTAGAAAAACAAAATTCAAGCAGGTGTTGTGCAAGTCAGAAAATTATGCTTGTGGTGATTCATCACAAGTCTCCTTTCCTGGTGCATTGCCATACACGTGACTAATGGAGGAACTTTTCAAAGCTTGTGTTGGCTCCTGCAGTGGAATGTAAATATGACTAATCTAATACCCTAGCAGCGTCTGAGAGCAGTGATGGGTCTTTGCAAGGAAATCCTATTTGCGTAGTTACTTGGCTCACTTGAATACCCTCCAGCTCATCACCTTTTCAAAAGCTTATTTTGCTTTTTTGTTTTACCTGCTGTTTTTCCCCCATCTGACATAGACTCTGCAGGTTACTGGGGACAGCCTGCTGAAGATTTGTCTTGAGATCCTGGTGTTTGAGCTACGGACATGAAAGGAAAATAGTGTAGACACTTCTGAAATGTTCTTGAACCTGCTCGTGCCCCTAGGAGCTAGTAATTCCAGCTTTATACACAATATACTATCTGCTTTATTTGCAGTTATCTTGCTTAGACTAAGAAAATGCTCATAAGCTCAGTTACTACCTGCTCGTGCCCCTAGGAGCTAGTAATACCAGCTTTATACGCAATATACTATCTGCTTTATTTGCAATTATCTTGCTTGACTAAGAAAATGCTCATAAGCTCAGTTACTCTGGGTGCTCCTTACACCTGTAGGGAGTGCAACATATTATTGCTGAGTCTTCTTGGATGCTGATGCTACCTTTATTCTGGCTCTGCAGCTTTGTTTTGTTGCCTGATTGATTGTTTCTTCCCTGGAATTAGCTGAATCCCTAGTACTGAGCCTGTCTCATTTCAGGCTAAGTAATCAAACTTCTAGTCTAGCTGGACCCAGCCATGCTAAAAGCTCAGTGAGTACAATTGTAAAAGCAAGTTCTTTAAAGACATATGAAGGTTTGTTGTGAACAGTGGAGAAATGCCCAGTCTTTACTGGGAAAGCAGACTGCCAGCACTTCAGAGTACAGATTATTGTAATGAGTTTCATAAGATAGGTTCCAACATTTCTGCTACCATTATTGAGATAAAGTAATGTGTTTGAAGAGCCTGACATCTTGCTGCATGGTTTGAAAACAGTGTTGTGGTTGCAGAATATTGAATCATTCCAGTCAATACTGAAGGATTTTTTTTTCCTCTTTTATTAACTATCAAATTTGTTTATTGCTCTCTCAAAGCATGTTTTATGTGAGATTGGCAGTCAGCAGTATCATCCTAAATTATTTCTCCATAAACATCCCATGTGAAAGCAATCCCGTAAAACTCTCTTACACTAGTTTCCTCCTCTTGAGGGAAACCACTGCAGCTGGAACTGTTCAGAGTTCCTGGAGTAAGTTTCATGGTGGCAGTGGGAGACTCTTCAAATAGCTTGTTTTCTGCTCCAGGTAAAACTTGCACCAAAGCATAGCATTGAGTATATGTGCTTGTTTTTTCCTCTGTCGCTTCTTGTAAAAAGAAATAGTGCTCTTGAAATAAACCCACCAATGTAACATTCAATGACTTAATGATATATCTTTAACCTTGAGATAGATGGTGTTAACAGATGGTAGTGGTCCGTCCTTTGGTTGCTACTCTGGTACAGTGTTTTGAGGAGCATGCATCTTCAACAGATCCTTCTGCCTGCCTTCGTAGAATTAGACTAGCAAATACCTGTTTGAGTTCTGTCTTAGGCATTCCTCCCTGGAGGACTATAGCCTGAGAGATGTATTTACTTGAGAAAACAAACCAACCAGAATTCAAGTTTGAGGAACAACTATGCAAACATCTGCTTGAGCATTTTTACTGTTTTTTTGCCTGTTCATATGGGGGTTTCTTGGTGTAGTCTTAACAAAGGGGCAACTTCAGAAGTAACTGAGATTTGGGTCTTAGCAACTCCTCATTTTACTGAGGTTTTAAAGATTGTATTGCAAGAGGATGTAGGCTTCAGATAAACAACTTGCAAATACTTTGCATTCTGTGAAACAGCTTTTCAGGAGCCAAATGTCTGGAAGAGCTTATGGTCTACACGTGGAGTGAAGAACACCAACTCAAATATCTCCTTGCTTTCTATTCAAGATCTATACCTAGTAACTTTATTCAGGAGGTTCTAAATGCACTTTGCTCCACCAAAATAAAGCCATGAATTGCCTCTGTTTCCATGAAGGAGCCTGTCACTGACGAGGCAGTGCTACATCCCTACTTAGCTGTGACAAGGTGGTACTCAGTTCAAATGTTACAGTATGGAAATCACTGCTTAGGCTTCAGTTTTCAGTTTCTGCTGTAGCAGTGCAGTTGGCCAGACTGAAGACTAGCTTGAAGGGTGTTTTCAGGAAACTGCAAGCTTGCCTTCATTTTTTTATTCCAGTCATCATTCCTTGCTTCCATATTAAAAACAAAACTAAAATAGTATACTGCAGTCTCATTTCTTCTCTGGAAAAAAGATGGCATTATTAGTGCAGTTATCTCAGAAGGAAAAGAGATTTCAATTTTGACCTCAGTTGAGATGAAGAATGTCACCAAGTGTATGAGCATCCATCATTCCTGGTACTAGACTCTTGAGTTGTTCTTGTCTTAGCTTGCCCTGTCATGTAAGCAGAAGGAACATTCTGCCTGGTGTTTGAGTTTTGATGTTTGTTTTTTATTCCTCTCTTCAGACTTTGCAGTAGCCAGTTCTGATTCCTCTTCTGTAGCTACATTCATAGAGGAAAAGCCAGACACATCAATGCTTTATTTGTGTAACTTCTGAATTAAGGTAGCTCTGATGGGAATAAAGATCTGCTCTTGCTGCCTTGATACTTGGTAGATAGAAAGAGGCTTCCAGCTTCTTTGGGGTTGGAGCAGTATATTTGGATGTCTTTGTCTTGAATTGCTGGTACATACTTTCATGCCTTTTTCTTTTTCCATGCTTCGGTGAAAGCAGGAATGATGAACTATCAGAAATATCCCAAGCAGTTGTTTTAGCTGTCCATTTATCTTACAAGCCTCAGCTGCTGAGATCACACTGCTATATTCATGCTGTGAAACCAGTTTGTATCATGAATATATTGAGTTAGTGTGTTTGCAGTTGGCTGGGTAAGCAGCAGTGGTTCTCGTAACTGACCTAACACTGCAAGAGATACTGTTCTTTTCCTATGGACAGAAAATGAAGCTTAATCTACCTGGAGTGGAGAGCCCATAGGGGTGACAGGTGCATTTAGCTTTCTTTTACGAAGTTGAAGAGACTGCTCAAGATCATCTGTGCTAATAACTTAACCACCTTCATACTCTTAGTGTTTATTAGGGGAAAAGTTAAGACCTATAAACCCATGAAAATTAATATTTAATGCCAGGGTGTTAAATCCATTACCCGATCATATAACTTTCATACTGGCCTTTGTGCTCCAAGGCTCTTCTTCACACTTGAGTCTTGTAAATTCTTGTGAACTTGAGCTGTGCTCCTGCTTATTTTGTGGTTCAATGGGAAGAAGGCTAGGAAAGAATACTGTATATGACACTGAAAAAGCAGGCAATAGCAGTGGCAGGAGTAAAGGATTAGTGCATTATATTGACTGTAGGAATATATGTTCTGGCCCTCCAGATCCTTTCTATAGAGACAATTTTTCATGCTGTTCCTTTTTTTTTTTTTTTTTGCAAAGAGATGTGTGGATGGCAGTCTGGAGAACTAGAGAAGCATGTCTGTCTTCAGCCTTGAAATATTCTTCTAGTCTGATGCAAGAAACAGAAAACATACCTCAAGATAGATCAGAGACATGTTTATGACTGTAGTAAGTGTTGGTTTTCAGTAAGAAAAAAGTGTGCTTATTGTTGCTTTCATCTTTTACAGGTGATCTTGACGACTTCAACTTAGAAGAGGCACTTGGTAATTATTACACTCTTGCAAATTTGGGGAGGTAGGTGGGAAAATAGTGGCTGCTCTTTTGACCGGTCTTTCTGAGTATCACTGCATGACCAGGCATGACAACTTGCCCACATATGGTTTGTTTAAACCTCAATGGAACACCTCAGCTATGGGTATGTCAAAATGTTGACTGCACAGAAGAAAAATTTGTCTTTGGGAACACTCAGGGGTTCCTCTTAAGGGGAAATGTCTTGCTGTATAGACTTAATCTTGTGCTTTTCCTTGTATAGACATAGGCTTACATTTGTCCTTCATGTGTCTTCTGAGTAATGTATTAAATACTGTTTAAACTTTTTTCTTTTTTCTTTTTTTTTTTTTCCCCAAACCATCCTTGACAGGCACTACAAAGAAGCCTCTTCCAACTCGGAAACCACCAGCATCAGATCATGGTGAGAGCTAATTGGCTTGTAATACCTTTTACTGTGAAGTCAAGTGCAGTTGCACATACTAATTTGAGAGCCTGAATGTTTCAATGTAGTGTCACACAGAGTTGTGGTATTTCTATGAAAGAAAGCCGTTCCCTCATAGCAAAAGGATTTCTGCATTTTGGAGTCTTCTGTTAGTGCTATGATCACAAATTTACTTTGTGATTTCACAAGCTTAAAGACTGCAAGAATCCCTTCTGTTGACTTTCAATCTGCATGTTTTGAGCTTGCTCGCCTTGAGCTGGCCCTTGGCACGTGCTATGATCACCAAAGCAACAGGTCGTTTGGCAGATAATGCCTGGTAACTCTGTGGTGCTCTTCCATGGGCCACGCCGTTATATTCTTGGTGAAAACATTGTGTAAAAATATTCTAAAACTAGGCCAGTTTTGGCATTACATTTAAAATGTGTTTTCTTTGTAGATGATTTCAACTTGGAAGATGCTTTTCAACCTGGTAAGTATCACGTTTTCCTGGATACTGCTCAGTGGTACTTGGTGCAATGTCTATCTGTCTTTTTTTAACTAAATGTAATAAGGGCACTGAGTTGATTAAGGTAACAGGCTGCTTATAAAAATAATTGCAGTCTAGTTATGTTATTTACCTTCATTTTCAAGGGTCTGGATCACAATATCTGTATGAATTGCACCAAGTCCTACCTGTTTCATTGCTGTGTCTTCACTAGATGGCACTAATTCCATAAACTATAACTTATGGAAGTAGTTTTTAAATATGAAGGAATCTTTTCCTGCCCGGGAAGAAATTTTAGTATCACAAGGAAACATTAATCTGTTTGAAGTAATATGAGGGAAGGTAGTCTTTCTAGTGTGCTTCAGTTCTGCAGTGCAGTGCGGGCAGCAGTAGAAATAGCAGGATTGTTCTCACTCAGCCAGTAAAACATGCACCCCGTGAGGCAGATAAGGCACAGCAGCTTTCCCAGTCCCATCACTAGACCTGTTGCAGTATAGACAGCTTTCCTAGCACAGGGCACACAGTTGTAGGGCAGTAGCACTGTTTGCTGCTCTGTTGGATTTAGCCCTTTGAAGTTCTGTCACTCTTAAAGCCGTCTGCTTCCAACTGCTGACATTTTTGAAAACAGAGTTGGCTAATTGAGAAACAGTTGGCTGAATGAATCAGTGAAGAGAGAGGATCCTTTACAGGATGGAGAGCCCAAGGTGGGGTCTTAGAACTGTGCTCTGGAGGTGCCCACCTCTTTACTTGGAATGTGCAGAGAGCCTGAGGAGACTTGATCTGATTTGTGCTGGAGCTGGGAGGAAGCAAGACCACACAACATCAAGGGGAAGTAGTACATAGAACAAACAGGCCGCTGAATTGGTTCAGCTGTTGGTGAAAACACAGTTTTACATAACCAATGCTGATGTGGGCAACAAAGACTGTGACCAAAAAGTACAGAGATAATTACTAAGATCTCTTACTCTCCTATTTTGTGGCAAGCTAAATGAAGTGTCATTGTGGGGACCATATTTCTAGTTCTGCTGTGTGTATCTTTTTTTTTTTTTTTTTTTTTTTTTTTTCTATGAGGTACAAACCTTTATTATTGGTTAAAATCTGGTAGTTTTAAAAGAGGAAACAGCCAAGTAATCTGTACCTGGTAGAAATACTTAACATTCAGCATTTGAAATCAGATGTGCAAACTAAAATACTGCGTAACACTTGGTGAGTTCTGTATATGTTCAGTTATAGCAACGGTCTGACATAGATGCTAATGTAACAGAAACACTGTTAATTGCATTAAAGTACAATGTTCAACCTAAGATAACCAAACAAATACAGCACTAGCTAATGAAAGGAAAGGAATATGGCACACAGAAGATTTCATACCATTTTTTAGGTTAGATAGTCTTTCAAGGTCACTATATGCTCTGCTTTTGGTCTCTTCACAGTAGTAACTTTGCTCACTTTTTATTCTAACTCTGTTTGTCTACAGATGAACCCAAGCCAGGTCCACCTGCAAATCCTAGAGACACTGGTAAGACTGACTTAACAGGAATTTCTGAACAGTAGAAAAGTATTTGTTAATCTTTCCTAGTCCCTTTTCATTGTAGTATGCTTTTGATACCTTAACCTTATTTTTGTTTTCTAAATCTCTCTTTTGTGTGTAGATAACCCCAAGCATGTCAATCCTAATCCCAAGGACAATCCTAAAGACACTGGTAAGGCTTCTAGCACAAACTTCTGAATTGTAAAATGTTTTTAGTGTCTCAGTTAAACTTTTAATAATTACTTCTTGTTAATTGGTTGCTATGTATGTCAGATGTTACCCTGGATAAACACTGAGGACTGAGGAAAAATTGTCTTGCAAATAAGCTTTGCAGCAGTCTTGAAATTCCATAACAGACCTGTTGAGTCGCTTTCACTTAAAAGTGGGATGGTGTGGGGAGAAGAAAGGTTTGGGACAGAGTGTGTGTGCCTGGGGCAACGCTGTTCTTGTCTGCCTGTGGTGGAGCACCTGTGTATTGGATTGATTCTTTTCATCTTCACAAGCTGAATCCCTGCTAGTCCTGCTAAAAATTCAGTAGGAGCTACCTGTGAACAGTATTATTAAAGTGTCTAAATTAAAGATAAAGCTCAAAAGTTAAAAGGGGGCTTTTTATCAGATTTTTTTTTTTTAAGGCCGCGGTTAAGAAATACAATTTTTTTGGTTTTGAAAGGTGGGCTTAAAATACATGTCCTTCCCTGCCTGTTTTACTTTAGAGGTCTTCTCTGTCTTTGTCTAACTTGGAGCAAAACAGATTCAGATGGATGCAGCTGTGATGATACGATTATCCAGGAATCTAGTGGTAAAGAGTCCCTACATGAAATGCAAGCCCTGGTTCTTGTTCCTCCTTCTGTCTGATTTGCAGCAGATATTTGAATGCAGGACGTGCATGCCTCAGTAGAGTGCTTTTGCCACCCAACTAAAACATCCTCTGATGCAGTGCCTTTAGTTTTGGTGCTTGAAGCAGATTTGCTTTGCATAAACTAAAGATGCATTTGACAGTAGAGGGAAGGAGGAGAACTCAGGCTCCATGAGTTTGGGTCCAGTGAGAGAGGGATTGGTTCAATGTTTTACAATAAATCAGAGGAGTGAATTATGTTTGGATCTTCCTGTTGTCAGGTAAATACTGCAGCCACTGGACTGTGGCATGTTGAACATTTCGGGTGTTCTCTGGACTGTGTTGTACAGGTGCAAAAGATTGGTTATGACTTAGAAACCCAACTCTGAAGAAACATTCACAGCTGCAGCCTTGAAAAGAAACGGTCCTTTCGTGTCCATGTCCTTTCTCTGCGTTAACAGGATAGTGAGACTTGCCCTGTTTCACATAACTAGCTTACAGGGCTTTTTACTTGCTCAGCCTGTGACTTGTGCAGCACTGCCTGCCCATGGACACTGACTTCTCTCAGTTGTTCAGGAAGTCCAGGGGCAGCAGTGCTGCTATCAACTGTACAGTGCCCACCTGAAGGGACTTGACATTGGGACAGCTTTTGAAACACGAATATGTTGGGACTATGACACTGAGCCTAAAACCACCACAAACTCAGCTGAACGTTCTAGAGAAAACTTTGATTTATCTTGTGCCTTGAGGCATCTTTTCATTGAACTTAAAACATGTAAGGTAATTTTTGTTGTTGTTGTTTATAGGCGGCTTTGATGATTCAGATCTGTATGATGGCAGTTTACCAAAAGGAGGAGGCGATGGTAAGTGGCAGCAGTGGTTAACTAGTTGGCTGTGCTTCGTATTGATCCTGTGGCTGCCTGGCTCACAAGCTGGTTAACACAGTCCAACTTGTACCACCTTTGGTTTTGGCATCTGAAACTTAAGAGCATACCTTACAGTTCAAAAGCAACGTGTTCTGTCTCAGCGAAAAACCCCAGATAATTAAGAGGTAAAACTGGCCTAGAAACCTTCAATGATTTTGCACTGTTATGCTAAGAAAGATGAGGTTTAAAACTGAAATGTGAATGCGGTACTTAATTTCAAAATTCTCCACAAATACAGTTCTTAAAGGCATCCAGATCTTCTGTGACATACTGCCTTCTAGTTCTTGTGGTTAGGAAGCCTAGGTGTGGGCCAAAAGAGGGTCCGCCTTGTCTTCTCAAAGATTTCATCTGTCATTGGTCCTTAGCCTTCCAAGTGATGTAGGTTCTGTCAACTCTGAGCAGTATAAAAACAAAACTTTTTTTGACTAATCTACCATGTATAATTGTTATGTCAAAGCTCAGTACAGTGGTGGTCATGGGGACCAAGCTGCAGTAATGGTCATCATTAGGATGCTGTTAGTAGTCCCCGTGTGCATTACTGGAACCTTTTATTTCCAGGTCAGTTAGGTTACATATCTTGATGTGATGTTGAGACATACTGCTGGTTACTGACTTCTTCACAGAATTGTCCCAGACAGACATTGCTGATGCTCATTTTTTGGGAAGCTTTCACCTTCCATGGTTCTTTTGGGGTAGTAACTTGAAACTTGGTAGGGGCAAGAAGCATCTTGAAACTTGAGCGGTGTTTTCGTCTGCACAGGTTCCTGCTTCAGTGGCAAATAAGGACAGTATTTACAGAACTCTGTCTGGTCTCATAAGAGAATTGCAAACATATTTAGTAAATGAGGCTGGGATTTTAGGAAAAGATAGTTGCTTCCATGGAAATACAGTTGAATGCTACCCTGAAATTGTATGCTGTTTCTCTCCACTAAGTATTCTGTGGTGCTGGGTGAGTTCGTTAAAACAGATTTAACAGAGGTGCTGTGCCCATTTTGTGGAACTGCTGAGCACCCAAGGCTGAAGTTGGCATCACCATGAGCTGTGCTTTGAAAATAGTCTGAGTGCCAGAGAGCTTAGCGCTGCATGGATATAATAGGTGTTTTGTAATTTTGCATGATTAATTTACAAAAAGGTTGTCAATTAGGATATGACTGTTCTTTAGAAATTTAAAGTCTAAACCTGTTGTTCATTTTTACAGAACGAAAGGGCCCAAGTCCAAATAATGGTGAAACAGCTGAGGGTAAATGCATAAATTTATGTCTATGATGGCAGCTGCATATCTGAAGCTTGTTTTCTGACTTTTTCTGTATTGCTAGTATTCTGCTAGGGTGGTCACTGCTGCTGGTGGGTTTCAGCTTAAAAACTTTCACGGAATCTAGATTTCTTACTTTCAAGCGCTGCTTTCATAGTGCTTTAAAATCTCTATATTGCAAGTGATTCAAAAGTGTTAAGGTCTCAGATACGGGTGCAGTGATTGCATGCACACAGCTTGGGTTTGGCTCTGAAAGGGTGGCTTTTTTTAATTAGTGGAACTTAAAACAGGCATGCTTAAGTTTTTTAACAATAGACATTGCTAAGAAATCAATGGTTATAAAATGAGAGGATTAATTTTCTATTATTCACGGAGTTCATTGCTACAGTTTCATGTAATAATTTCAGTTTACTGTTTTTTGGAACTCTTCATTGGATTTACTTTGAGACAATGCAAGATTGACATTGCCTTCAATTCTGAAAAATGTGTACAAACCTCTTTTTTCAGTTTCTGAGGGAGCAATAGCCGGAATTGTAAGTGCTGTGTTTGCTACTGTAGTTGGAGCAGTATCTAGTTTCATTGCTTACCAGAAGAAGAAACTCTGCTTCAAACAAAGCGGTAAGAATTCTAAATGAGTTTTGTTTTCTACTATCTAAAGAGATGTAGTTATACGTTATACATATAGTGAGGCATTTATATGGGGGATAGAAATTGATCTTATGCATAAGGCAGTTTTAATAGCAGAGTGAATTTGTGTTCACAGGGAGTAACCTCTCTTACTAGTCATTTAAGACAGGGTATCTGAAGAATGTCTTGCCCAAAATTTTTAGGCTTTCAGAAGCAGACACTTAAGGCTTTGCATTTCTTAAAGGAAAAGCACTTCCTGCTAAAGAGTAAGGAGGAGAGACTGCAAGAAGACATTTCACTAAGGAAAATTGGCTGGAGGTTGGGGATTAGAGACTATTTTCATGCTGGAGAATACATTGTCATTTCTACTTTTGTAAATGTTGCCTTTGTGTCTTCACAAGGTGCTTCCCTACATACGAGGTTTCTGACAACTGCCTGGATATTCATCCTCAAATGATTCTTTCTTCTGCAGTTGTCTGTTACTTGCTATCAACTTCCATTCCACCTAAATAAGAGATAACTTGGACTAGAGAATTTGGGGAATACTCTGGGTGATATGTGGGGCAGAAGCTTTGGTTTTGCCCTTTCTTGTCTCTCTGACTGGTTGGTGAAGGAAGACGATAGAGCAGCACTGGCTGGATTGTAATTTAGGAAGCTTGAAAACTGAGTAGCGTCTACCATGAACATTAAAATGCAGACAACACAAGGGAAACTCAACTGCTGACACAAGCCCAGTTGCTTCAGTGCTGTTTCTCCTCTCAAATTGTCTCTATCAATCAATAACTTTGAAGATAAGAGAATTTGAATGCTAAGCATCTTTGTTTCCCAGCAGATGAAGAGAATGTGGATATGGATAGCCATCGGGGAGCGCGATCTGAGCCACCTGGTAAGAGAAGAATCTAGATGGAAGATCAACTTTTTGGTGGGGATCCTATTAAATGCACTTTATTGACATCTAACATAGTAGAGCAAATTACTTGCACTGTTTTGTTTTGTTTAAAAAAATAATTTTTTAATTGCCATGACAACTAACTTAGAACCAAATCAAGAGTTCAGTTCTGATAACATGGCCACTCTTCTCTAGTTTTGTATTCTTTGAACAGATTGGTTTATAGCCTTCAGGAGTCCTTGAAATACAGGAGCTTAGAGAAAGTAAAGAATTGAATTTTCTCTGCAAAAGTATTATTAAAGGTGATTTTGAAAACACAAGCCTGCTCCTTTAGTGTGATACACAACTGCAATTAGCTGACAGGTGTTTTATCAGTTATCTTGTGTCTGGTTGGAATCTGATACCTTTTTTGATTGTAAACCTATATAGAACTCTGCAAGTGTGCATATTAAAAAATATTAATAGTGTTTGGACAGAGATGAAACTACACTGGAAGCCAGGAGGACTGAATTTAGCACTGTGCTGTTGTAACTAAAACATTCTCTGTTGTGAACATAGAATAATTTTTGTATGAAAGGATGGTCCAATAGCAGATCTTCCTACAATAGTGACAAGGATCTCTTTTAAAGCAACAAAAACCTTAACAACCTGACCCTTCCAGCTGTGATTGTCTAGGGTACTTGGCTGATGGAACAGGTGATTGTTTCCAGGAAAGTCATAGACAGATCTGAAGGAAACCGAATAGGTGAAAACTTGGCTTTCTAGCCCCTGTGACTGGTTAGCAAAGGAAGAAGTGGTACACCCTCATGGTGAGGTTTGTTGAATGTCTTTGAAACACTGAATATTAAAACCTCAAAGCAGTATAAATTTGAAATATAGTCTTCTGTGAGCTTAGTCTAAAACCTACAGAACTAGTTGTGTCTTTTTATAATTAAACAAACGAAAAAAGGTATACCTTATTTCTTACAGGTATTTCATCAGTTTGCTACAAGCTTCCATCTGGCTCATGATCCTCTTTATAAAGATTTTTCATTTAAGCTGTTAAATATATAAAACTCTCAAGGAGAAAACGCTTAATTATGACTAGCTGTTAAGTCAGGACTGGAGATAGGCAGGTATCCTCAGTTGAGCTGTGCATTAGTGAAGCAAGCAGTATTGTTCAAAGACCTCTACCAAAGGCAGTTAACATAGGAGTTGGAGTCAGGGTATGCTAAAATTTTGGCCAAGATTCACCAGAACTCAGGTGTCAAATACATCAGATGACATACTTTATTTTAACCAAAAAGGTCAAACTGCAAATGATTACTCCTGCCTATGTACTGCTATCACGTTAAATCCGAAATGTCATACCTCTGTTCTACTTGGCAGGCAAGCATGAGCATGTTTTGAGCCAAGAAACTGGGCCACCATGGTCAGCACAGTGCTACTCCTGATCTAAGTTCTGGGAGTCAGCAGACAGTAGCTATGCTTTTGGTAATATAGTGTGGACGTATCTTCCATGGCTTCTAGGAGAGCCGCCAAGCTGGTGAGGGGCCTGGAGAACAAGTCCTATGAGGAGAGGCTGGGGGAACTAGGCATGTTTAGTTTGGAGAAGAGGAGGCTGAGGGGAGACCTCATTGCCCTCTACATTGCCCTCTACAACTACCTGAAAGGAGGTTGTAGAGAGGCAGGTGTTGGCCTCTTCTCCCAAAGGACGAATGACAAGACCAGAGGAAATGGTCTGAAGTTGCGGCAAGGGAGATTTAGATTAGATATTAGAGAGAACTACTTTACTGAGAGAGTGGTCAGGCACTGGAACAGCCTGCCCAGGGAGGTGGTGGAGTCACCATCCCTGGAGGGATTTAAGAAACGTATAGACATGGCTCTTCAGAGCATGCTCTAGTGCCCAAGGTTATTGGTTTATGGTGAGGTGTTGAGTGTGGGGTTTAGTTGGTGGGTGCGGTGTTTTTGGTGGGCATTTGGTGTGGTGTTGTTTTTTTGTTTTTTGGGGGTTTTTTTGTTTTGTTTTGGTTTGGTTTTTTTTGTGGTTAGACTCGATGATCTCAGAGGTCCCTTCCAACCACTAAGATTCTGTGATTCTGTGATTCTAGATAGAAGCAGTCTTGCATTCAGCCAGGTCAGATGGCATGGCAGAACAGCTTTGCCTTTTTAAGTTTTATGTAGGCTTATATTTGACTTCCTGGAAATGTAGGTAACGTAGGCTAGCACTTTTCTTTCAATAACCAGCTTTTTCCATCAGCTTGACAGACCGTACTCCGTTGCAGTTTTGTGGATGCAAAAATGAAAGCCTGAGACTTTATGTTGGGTTATACTGCAAGTGCAAGCTACATGGACCTGGGAGGATGTGGTTATTTGAGTGGGAAATCTGGGTTGTAATAGCCCTTGATATGCAGGGCACTGGCTACACAGATTCAAGCTTCTACTTACCTGAATTTATTTAATAGTTTCAAATGCCTAATGAGGATGTGTGTTGCCCACATATATTGTTACATGGTAATACATAGTAATACATAGTAACATAGTAATACATAATTCAAAATGTATACTAACTTAAGTGTTCTAATCTTGAGTTGTTTCTCACTTTTTTCAGTTCAGCGCACACTTCTGGAGGACTGAATTAAAGCACGATGAAGAACAGACCATTGAAACTGGATAGAGAGCCTGCGTTCTGCCTGAAAGAAAAAAAAGATGAAACAAACCAAAAAAAAAGCATAATATAAAAGCAGAGTCTGAAGTTGCATGAGAAAACAGTTCTTGTTTAAAACACCTCTGGGAATGTGACTTAGACCTGAGTTGTTCTGTATGGTTAGCCCTGTGAAGCATTTTTGCACACCAGTATAATGGCCTTAATGACAGGAGAGTAGAAGTATGTTGTGCCTTTACATTCTTTCCTGTACAGATGGGTGTGTCTCAAGTGCATTCAGTACCTTAAAACTTTTCCTTACCTCTAAAAACAATAAGCAATTAATGTTTTGTTACACCATTGCTCTCAGGCAGTGCGAACATTTTTGTAATACCCTGTACGCAGTGAGTGTACTGACCAAACAACTCAGTACGTGGCGTGGGCACCCAAAAATAAAGGGCTCACTGCGTGGGGATAATGGGTCTGGGTGTGGGTGCTGCGGGTACAATCTGTGGAGCTGCCTGGGTCAACCACCAGGGGAGAGATCCTTTGTTCTTGAGCATCTGAGACAAAAAAATCAGAGTTCTGTTTTTGCATTTATTTTTAGTTGCGTCTGTCTGGTACAGATTCAGAACACCAAACTGATGCAGAACACCCAAACCCTTCAGCCTTCCTGCTTAGCAAGTACTGAGCTGGTCAAATGTGGAAAAGCCTGATTTGCAAATCAGAACCATAATTGGATTTTATACATCTGGTGAGATTGATGTTTGGCAGTTCTCTGAACAGTTGTGGATGAAGTGCTGGGGAATGGGAATTAATATCTTCAGACTCCCATAACCAAAAATTTAAAAGAAAATAATGTGATACTTTGAATTCAGAAGGCTTATCATAAACGCTTAAAAGGCAAAAAAAAAGTATAACAATTTGAAAGTATGTAATAGCAAACTGACCAGAACAACCCGGCCTCATTCCACAAGCATCCATCGAATGGTATAAATGGCATATGTGTAAAGAATGCTTTTGGATTTGTGAAGGATTGCCATTGGGATGAAGACCATCCTCAACTTAAAGCACTTCTGAGCTTTGCTGTAGCTCTTGAAAGCCACAGGAAGGTTTCAAGAATCTGTGGAAACATGGAAAACTAAGGACTAAATCTGGAATAATAACTAGTTCTGTCTGGAAGGAATAGTCTGACCAGTTCTGTTGGCTTTCATTCTAATTTTCATTCTAGAAACAACTCTAAAATTGTTTCCAATTTTCATGCAATTTTACAGTACGCGTCTTACTAATGTGCTTCAGCCACCTGGCAAAGTTCTGCAGAAAGAAGGCATTTCATGGAACATCTTAGAAGTCATTATAAATTTGAATATTAAACATGTAAATATATCTGTGCATTCAAATATGAATGTATGCCAAGGATAATTCATTTAAGAATTTCTTGTACATGTTTCTTAGCTTGCAACAAAGCTTTACATAGACTTTAGTATTTTGTTATGGAATTAAATTGTCTTTTTGCCCCACTTCTGCTTCTGGTATAAAAGTGCTAAAACCTTTAAGTGTGTTTGAGGGTGGAATTGATTTTTATATAAACGTTTGATCTCTGTAAATATGAAGAAATGAAATGACTACTTACCTACATGAATAAACAGGTTATCTCGTATCAGTGCCAAGTGTAGAGAAAACAGAAATAATCCAGTGTTTGTTAGGGATAGAATGGCAAGGGGAGCTCAAACTAGCTTTTAGCTAACTAGACTCTTGAATCTTTTTTCAGCTTTTGCAAGACTAAAAATTACTTCTTAAAACCTCCTATCAACATTGTGATTTTTCTAAAAACAAAATTAAAAAAAAAAAAGAAAAAAGAAACTGTTTGTGTATTTTTCCTTCTTAGTAGCTTTAGAAATACATAAATTTTGGTGCTCTACCAGAGAAGCAGTCTTCAAATGAAGTTTGTCTTCCTGCTCCGTCAACAATTTTGGGTTTATTTCTTAGAGCCATATTGATGATTTGAGAAGTTGGCCAGTAGCAACAAAACTGAGCTGCTTTCGCAGGGTGCTTACCAATGCGAAGTGCAGAGAAGACATCTGTCTCTGTGAAGGACAGGCATGGCTTTTGAAGAAGAACACCTGGATTTGGTAACATGGAATCTACGGAAAATACGCGCAGCAATAGAAGGCTTAGTATGGGCAAACTTAATGGTCTTTGTGTTGAGAGGGAAGAAAGACTGGCTGCTGCCACCTGGGAAGAAAAGGTTAAAGAGAAGGCTTGAAATTTCAGGCTGCTGTTGTGTAGTGAGCAAGAAGCTCCCAATTTATGGCTTTCTGTTACTTATCTGTGGATAAAACCTAGCAGTTCACTTATTTTTTGGTTATCAGGGTATTGATTGCTATGTTGCTATTTTCCTCACTACCCTTTGAGACTCTGATCTTGTGCCTTTATTTCTCACAGTCATTGGGTCCAGAAACATTATCAGTTAACAGCAATTCATCACCCTACTGAAATATTTTTTAGGTTATCTTTCATGGATCAGCTGCTCATCACGGCCTTACGGGCTGTTTGTGACTTTCAGATCCCTATTTGGGAATTAATGTTCTAGTTTCCATACAGGTTTCGACCAGACTCTGCAGTGGGAGGAAAAATTACTGACCTTTCAGGTCCAAAACTGCAGGGTCACAGCTGGTGAGGTACCTTCACCATTAAGCTGAGTTTAAATGGATGGCAACAAAGAGCTCTTCGGTCCAGGTATTTCTCCAGTCGACCTCCTTTGATGAGGAGGAGTACCCTTCAGTAACAGGAGGAAAAAAGGCAAAGAAGGATCTTCTCGTAGATGTATCGTGTCACTTTAGCCTCTAAAAAGGAGCTGAGGTGGCAGTTTAATTCATCCTAACTGTCAGTGAAAAGGACTGCTCGAAAAATGTTTTGAAGGCTTTCAAATGTGATGATGCCTGTTTCAAATACTTATCTGAACTTACCCAAACAAACGAGTGGGGCTGTGGAAATGAAAGCAAGCGATTCTTAAGCGTAAAATTTGGCAGCTTTGTACTGTAGCTGCTATTCATGCTCATTTCAGTATCTGTCCAGATTTTGAATGCTAAGGAAAACTCTTTTTTAGTGCACTCAGCTGTCAGTGTACTTTGGGCTGAATTACACTCCCAGTTGTGCATTTTGGTATTTTTCTGGCTAATTATTTTAGGCCACTATCTAAACTGTACTATTCTCTGAGTGTTTTTCACTTGACAAGATTATGAAACAAACCTTAAGCTTTTCACAAACTGAAAAGACTGTTTTCTTTTTGTTCTTTTCTATTACACAGATAGAAAAGACACATTTGAAAGAAAGTGAAGAGATGATTAGGAATAGGAAAAGTACCTGAATGGTGCAAAAATCCATTTTTTCAACCGCCTGCATTTGGAGTATTTCAAGAACCACAAGGATAAAAAAAAATGCATGTTCCTCCATATGCTTGTGAAAAAACATTGAAGTGTTAACTAGTGTGTAACAATTGTGTTCTTCCATTGCCAAGAAATTGTATCGCTGATTCACTTGTGTATTTGGCTTATATTTAAATTAGTGTCTAGTATTACCAGCTATTTCCATATTTTAATTAAAATACTTCCATTTTTATGACAAAAGATGACTACCGAAGGATATTAGTGGCTTTCCCCAGTTAGTTCTAGTTAGTTCCTTCATTTCCGATAGACTCACGCAGCAGGTCACCCACGCCAAAGAGAGCAAGGTCTAACCTCTGCCCACAGGAAGGATGGGACTGCAACTGTGGGGAGCTGTGACTGTCCTCCTCATCTCCTTTAGCTTGTCTCATCTGAAAGAGGCCCGATGGGATACAGTATATGGTGTAGAGAACAGACAGACACACTGGCTCCATTTCTCCACCCATTTCCTATCTCTTAAATACATGGGTTTTATTCTTGAAAGAAAAAAAACACAGGTGAGTTATCCACCTTGTCAGGTGAATATTAAACAGAACTTTATTTTCCCTTTCAATAGAAAAAGATGAGGCAATTATTTCCCAAAGTAATAAAACTACAATTTATGGTCAGGTGTAAGGTCTTCCATTTGTTTTTTAATATATAACATTGTTTACTTGATATCTCAGGCAGTCACCCACACATCTTTGACAGAGGGAGCCAAGATTAAGAAATTCCTGCAATGCCCCAAGAGCAGAAGTGGGATAAGTATTTGAGACATCTCAACGCCAATTCTAGATCCACTCCTTCAGTTTGCCCTCTCTTTGTGCCTACTTCATACGGTTTTTATTTAGCTAGGCAGAGTAGTAGCTGCCTTCAGAGGAACTAGACAAGGGGTACATCAGTTTCAAACTTAAGAACCTTCAATATCCTGATGAACTAGTATCGGCAGACAGGCAACATAACACCTTTTGGGAAGACTTCACGTACAAGAACAACTGTTTTGAAGTAAAGCTACAGGATGTTTGTGAGCTGCTTGGACTTGCCTGGGACTAATACATAACCTTTCTTGTTCCCTTCAGGCAAATTCATCACCGATACAAAGATTAGCACATGTGTGCCTCCTTCTGTTATTCTGGAAAAAAAATAAACAGTGGACTTAAGAGATTGCTCGTGTCATGGTATAATTTTTGTTTTCCCTGGCTGACAAAGTCACCTCTTAAACCTAAATGTCCTTAACTCTTCTGAGATTGAGCAACTGGCCCTGAAAAGGAAAATGATGATAGATAAATTGAGCTTTAGAACTTCTATTACTAGCTTAAAGGTAGTCCAACCGTGTGGTAGAGTAAGCCAGGCCCTTATATTCTGCTGGTTCAAGTTTGGGTGGCGGTGGGAAGCTGACCTACTTGAACATCAAGCTTCTTGAAGATCCAATGCCACTGGGTTTTATCAGTCCTGTTTACGTTGCTGTGTCAGTTTTCTTGCAGTTAGCATGAACGCATGAATTCAGTGCACACACTGTGGCGTATGTTCTATTTAACTCAATAAAAATGCACGGGGGGCCAGCCCGTGCCCCACATGGCACTGGATCACCCAGCAACACCACAGGCGCCCACATCAGCCATTCGTGGTAGCAAGAGTATTTGCTGCCCTCGTCAAAACAGCACTGACAAAACTGCCTGCAGCCTAACCCCGGGGGAAAGGGAGGACGCACACAGGTCTCCTTGCTGGTGCCAGGCACCAGTGTGATGGTGGCAGTCCAGTTCCACAGCCAAGTGCGCTGACATACGTGTTTGCTAGAGAGACGCCATGGATATTTATATTTAAAAACATATCAGTGGTTTCCAGTGATAGGATGCTGGAACAAGCTGGAATACAGGAAGTTCCATTCAAATATGAGGAAGAGCTTCTTTACGGTGAGGGTGACAGAGCCCTGGAACAGGCTGCCCAGGGAGGTTGTGGAGTCCCCTTCTCTGGACATCTTCAAGACCCGCCTGGATGCAGTCCTCAGTAATGTGCTCTGGGCAACCCTGCTTTAGCAGGGGAGTTGGACTAGGTGATCTCTATGGTCCCTTCCAACTCTGACGATTCTGTGATTCCATGATCTAGATCAGTGGGAAAAACCTGTGACAGACAATGTTCCAGCATCCACAGGGAGCTGAGCATGCTTCAGTTCAGTGGTCTGAGATCGTGTTTTAATCTCATAAAATTTGAGGGTTTTGTCATCCCTCTGTAAACCTTCCCAAAGCAGATTCTTGGTCTCCACTAGGACTCTGACAGGGTTGCCTTCTACCAGCAGGTATCGCCCAGTCAAAAACCAAGGAGGGAAGCAGCACTTTGAGGACAGAGTCTACCTGAGAGATTGTTTTTGAGTATGCTGCGGAGAAGGCCAGTCTCCTCTCCCAAACTACCTGAGCTCCCCCAGCACCACACCCTGCTTTGAAGGCGAGGATGTCAAACAGGTTGGCTTTCCCTCAGGGAAGGAGGTGGATCCAGGGCGCTTTGGCTCCCTCCTCATTGGGTGCTGCTGCTGGTTCCCCGGCTCTCCCCGCCTCTGCCTGGGCAATAAATAGATTTCTTCAAGGGTGGGTGGCACCTATGGTGCTGCTCACGGCTTGGCCGTAGCAGAGTCGTCTGCTTTTGATACTTCTCTTGTACTAGAAGAGGTTTTTAGGGACACCTCTCTCTTTCTTGGTGGCTTGGCCGTAGCAGAGCAGAGTCGTCTGCTTTTGATACTTCTCTTGTACTAGAAGAGGTTTTTAGGGACACCTCTCTCTTTCTTGGTGCTTAAAAGTGATGGTGAGGGAACTTTTTGGACAGAGCCAGTGATTCCAAGCATCTTCCTCAACCCTTGGCACTGCAGTTGCAACATCTACTGGAAAAATCAACCAGTGCAAACAAGGCACTGCATAGAAGACCATGGGGAAATTCAGAAGTATCCTCTTGTGCCTTGGCTTTCTTCTAGTCCACGTACAAGGTAAGTGACCTTTGCCTTAACTTATTTCTAGGTTGAGATCATTAAAGATTTAAAAAAAAAACCTAAAAAAAATAAACCCCAACCCCTCAAAAATATGCTTGTACATTTAGAAATGCTTGCTGCCATTATTTTTGTCGTCGCTGTTTCATGAAAAGCATTTGAGAGTGTTTAGATAAGTGCTTCTGCAGTTTCTAAAGGCATATACATATGTTTTGGATGATCACTTGTAATATTTCTGCTAGTTGGTGATTGTGTGTTATGATTTCTTATTTTCTGTTTAGTGTTGCTTCCTTAAAATTATTCCATAAAACTATTCCTTAAAATTATTCACAAGCTTGGAGTTGAGAGTAAACTTTTTAAATGGAAGCTGCAAAATGAGAGCTTCCAGGGGAACTTAATGTTTCCAAAGATATCCTTAGTCAAACAATAACTTCATGCTTTTAGACCTTTTCTTGGTTATTGTAATTTTGAAACACATTAGTTACATTGCAAAAACAAATTCTGATTCAGTTTAAAGATGCTTATGCTTTCATATTGGTGCTCATGCTTTAATAATTACAAATTTATTATATTATAATTTATAATAAATTCTAAAATAATAATTTATTAACTTCAGCCAACATTATCCTGAATATATAAAATCCACACACAACCATACTATTTTTTTTCATGCAGAATTAATGAAGAATTGAATGCATTTTGTGCATATTTTTTTATAAATGAATAGGAGTTGGGAAAATGTAGAGCTTTCATATTGGGGTGTTTTTCTACATTCTAACAGAAATTTCTTTTAACAAAACATTGTGTAAAACTGTTTTTGATATAAAACCAAAGAGGATCATCCTCTTGAGAATCTGCCATGCAGTGTAGTTGTAACCTTTTCTCTTTTTTTGTGTATTAGCATTACTTCAAAAAACTTGGAACGCTCTGTTTGACTGCAGGAAGAAACCAGTCATTAACCACTAGTTCCAAAATCATCCTCCCACCACCCCTGATTTAAATGGAGGCCTTAGGAGATCTTGCAGTGGCAGGCAGTGAAAAAGCCTTGCCTTAAATTAGTGCCATAGTTCCATTTGAACAAATGAGGGATAATTTGGAGACTTTCAGCAAGTAGCTTGACATAGAAACAGCAGAGCAGTAGGACAGCCCTGTAGTATGTTGTGAACAGGGATGATTCACACGGTCTCTCATCACTGGCATGCAGACTTTCTTGTTCTGAAAGACTCTCTTACGTTGAAGTTGGAGTGCAAACAGTCTGAGCACAGGCAAGCCAATTTCCATATATTCTATCACTTTAATTACAAGGATAGCCAGAGTAACCGTTCTTGCTTTACACGTGCTAATTTAGAGCCAGTTCAAGCCCTGCTTTGGGGAAGAAGTCATTGGTGAAAGCTGCTGTGGGCTTTGGGCACAGTCTTATGACTGTGGAAACTATTTAATCCACTTTGAAAGGCAAAATTAATTATTTTAAGTCTATGGCAACAGCCATTGAATTTTATCATCAAAGTTTTTACCATGTTTCAGGGGACATTTACAGGAATCACTTCTAAGTCCTAATCAAGACAGGATATGAGAAAGGCTTGACCATGATGATGAAAAGCTGGTCTAAGTTCTTATGATAGGAATGTCTATGGCATGATTCACCTTTTTATATGAAACCTTAATTTTTATCTAAGATGTAGCCATCTGTGATAGCTCCTAGAAACTACCGTGCCACCACAGCCAGGCCAGATCACATCATTCTTCTTACGATCTAGTATTTCCTCCATGTCCAGCTATCTTCAGTTACTTGGCTAGATTATTTTGATGGACTACATCTTGACAGAAGTGTGGCATAACCAAGGACCGCATTGTATAAGGAAAGTGAGACTTGATATAGTTTGGAATCTTACATGGTCACTGCAGTCTTCCATACTTTTATCTACATTGTTTGGCTTTTGTTATTTCCAAGTTTACACAGGTTCCATGGGGTCTCCCATATAAGTTGAGTTGCAACAACTAATTGTCTGAGAGGCTTTTAGCCCAACTCAAATGAAAAAAACTTCCTAGAAAGAACTTCTACTGAAGTTTATGCTAATGTCCCACTATCAGTTACTGTGGCTCGGCTGACCTGTGGCAATTCAGCTTTGGCTGTGTCTACACTGCCCACATAGGGTGTGGTAAGACACAACTTAGATCCTGGCCCCCAAGTAAGTGATATCATGCACCTCTTTGAACATACTGGAGGTCCCATTTAGGCCATACACCTGTGTGCATATCTGCAGTGGGGAAGCAGTGCAATCTGAAGGCTCTCTCCCATATGGAGCTGGAAAGCAGCTGAGACAGTCACTCACTACAGTGAGGAAGCAGTGCAATCTGAAGGCTCTCCCATACGGAGCTGGAAAGCAGCTGAGACAGTCACTCAGAAATGCTCTTCAGGTTCCCAATATAGATACAATCTCCGTGGTCTTTAAGACCAACTGATAGCTCACATTTAGTGAGTAACGAAGACAGCACAAAGGTTGATGGTGTTTAAGATACATTAACTTTACTGCATCAGGTATTGCACCCTACGCAGGTAAAAGGAACAGCATTTATTTCCAGCCAGTAAACCATGTACCGCTGTTCAGCGAAGGCTTACAAAGCCATGGACTCAAAACTAATTGTATTCTTGGCTAATTAGCTAGGCGCTTTATGGGGAGAAAATTACAGACCTGTTTGGATTTGAGACACTACGTGACTTAGTTTTATGAAGAATGTAGTTTTCACCGGAGTTAAAAAACAAAATGGGAGAGGTGGAAAAAACAGTCCTGTTTTTCTTATACTGCTCCATCAAGCTCCAGAACTTGCTGTTGCTCGGTGTGAGGTCCCTGTGTATGTGCTGAAGCACTCACCGTATCGGCAGGGATATATAAGACAACGTTGCTGGGCGCCAAAACTATTTCACTCCCAATACCAGAGCTGCTATCATCTGTAGGCATGTCAGCCCTGTCATCCCAGGGTGTGATGGCAGCTTGATAAATAGACATACCTGAACTGGTTGAAACGCTAACAGCAGCAGAGCTTGTTGCAACACCAGTGCTCGGGAAGGGCTAACAACCAGTGGGGTTACTCAGCTTCTTGGGCTTGCTTTTCAAACATTGCTGCCACACTGGAAGCCGTGCCCAAACTGCCTGTTTTCAGTACGTATTTTTCCCTCATTTTCAATAGTGATTGTCAATCCCTTTCCATCCCATTGAGGGTGATAAATGGACAAATAAAAGTCATAATTCTTTCAAGATTAAAAATCAGTAAAAATATGCCTTTCTGTGGTATTTTGCCTCATGGTTAGGAGAAGAGAGATGCAGATTGGATTGATCAGGGTCTTCCTTTTTTTCCACAAGGGAAGCTGACATCTATGAATGTCGTGGGAAAATGCTATCTAATCTAAAATCTTGAGTAAAAATATGCCTTTCTGTGGTATTTTGCCTCATGGTTAGGAGAAGAGAGATTCAGATTGGATTGACCAGAGTCTTCCTTCTTTTCCACAGGGGAAGCTGACATCTATGAATGTTGTGGGAAAATGCTATCTAATCTAAAATCTTGTTGGTAGTACAGTATCTCATGAAGGCAAATAGGCCATCCCAATTGACAGAAGGGGCTGGAACGGGTTATGAAGATATAACAGTCCCACTTCCACTGAATAGGCTTTGCCTGTCATCGATGTATTTTTTAATTCCTGAGGAATTTATTAAAAACCTTAAACCACAGCAATATATTTTCAGGGGGCGATAATGTTCCAGATTAAATGTCAACAAAAGCCAGAGTAGGCACTGAGATTAAAAGAAAAATTAAAGCAAAGTCCTTCCTTATGTCCCAGGTCTTGTAACATCAGTGGTTGAGGACCCAGGGGCATAGACTCCACACAGGAAACAGTCCTGTGTTGACAGCAGCAAAGCTTCCCAGATCACGATCTATATTGCATCAAAACTGCAACTCTACCTGGCAGATTACCATCTGCACAAAGCAGAAATCGAGATATGCTCCAGATATTTCTATTCAGAAGGACCGTACAGACCATTTTGTTTCCTGAGCAGAGCAGTAACAAAAAGAAGCCTGGCTCTTTGTTCAGAAATCCAACCCAGGTTCATTCTGCATGCCTAGACTCTTGACTTCTGTTCCCTCCAAAGGCTAAACTGCCAGATTCTCTTCTGAGTCTTCTGCTTTTGAAGTTCAGACACCGACTGACGCTCCGTCACCCTTTGCCCGGGGTCAACCAGAGAGGATTCGCTGTGCACTCTGGCAGCATGTGCAGAGGTTTCTTCATCTCTCCTAATTGCTTTTCTCATTCAGCCAAAATGAGAAGAGAGGTGGCTCCTGAGACACTGCAGAGACTTTGTTGCTGAACAGATCCGCTTGCTGACATCCAGCAACTCTTTCCAGCATTACTCTTTTCTAGAAAACATGTTCTTAACGGAGTGAAACAGAGAAGATAGATGCAGGCCTTGCCTCTTTGCTGCCTTGTGTCTTAAACACGCAAGCAAAGAAAGTTTACAAAATGCCCTGATCATCTGCTTCGACTTGGCGGCACTACTGACCCCTTGGAAGGAATATAAATAATTACACTGATAGGCTACTGTGACTTCAGGGGGCATAGGATTAGTTATACAATGGAATTTCTGAAACAAATTCAACTTGAAATAGCACTTCTGAGATCTGTGCTGCCCATATTGAAGAACTAAAGGTGATTTTGCATGTATTTTACCTGGGACAAAGGTGGGATGAGGAACACTGAAAGACACTCTGTGAGTAACAGAAATAGCCAAGCCTGACATCTCCCTGACCTCCAGCACTACCTTCAGCTCCCTCTGCTGTCTCTAAACGAGCAGCTGGGGAAAGTGTGGGTTAGCCAGCAGGTACTCAGGCAGTGAGGGGTCTCTCAGAGTGCCCAACTCAGCTTTTGCTTGTGCCACGCTGTAGGGTTCCAGTAGGAACATTTGTATAGGTCTGTTGTTTGAGCCTATCTACACGTACAGTTCTCA